CATTTTCATTTCTTCAGAAATATATTGTTGAGGGGTGCCTGGGTGGCCCAGTCGGTTAAGTATCTGCCTTTGGTTCAGGTCATGATCATAGGATTCTGGGATCGAGCCTCTCATATGGCTTCCTGCTCCGTGAGGAGCCTACTTCTCCCCTCCCTGCCGATCCCCCTGCTTGTGCCCTTGCTCTCTCTCTTTCTCTCTCTCTGTCAAATAAATAAAATCCTAAAAAAGAAAAGAAATGTACTATTGCACTATATCACTAATTATATCACTAACTACAATACTACTACACCACATTGAATCTCTGGAGTTAGTATATAGTTAGGCCTCAGAACCAGTGGTCTCCCCACAAGTGGATGTGCCTATTTGATAATACTCTAGTACGGTTATCCTTCCCCTCCTACGCCTTTAAAAACAACCTAAAAATATTAAATTTCAGTATAAGACTAATATTTGAGAAACTAATATGTGTGCAGAGTAGTGGTTTTCAGTTTTTAATTTAATTTAATTTTTTTTTTTTACAGATTTTATTTATTTATTTAACAGATAGGGATCACAAGTAGGCAGAGAGGCAGGCAGAGACAGGAAGGGAAGCAGGCTCCCCGCTGAGCAGAGAGCCCAATATGGGGCTTGATCCCAGGACCCTAAGATCATGACCTGAGCCAAAGGCAGAGGCTTTAACCCACTGAGCCACCCGGGTGCCCCAGTTTTCAGTTTTTTACATTAACTAGGCAACTTGAGAGAAAAGGAATGATCTTATATGTACCTAATCTTATGTAGAGAATCTTAATTTTGGCTAACTATATGAGTTAATCAAGAAATTAAAAAAACTAATTATTGAGTTTATTATTTATTGCTTTGTGTGTGGGGGGAGTTTACAAAAAAAGGATATATAATATACTCTTTCATCAGGATTTTCCAATGTGGTTTGATGATCAGATAACGAAAAGTCCAAATTTTTAGGATAACTGAATGAAAAAAATAATAGGAATTGCATTAGTTAATACAACTAAGATCATTTCTACACAATCCTGCCGGATTGACATTGTAGATAAATTCCAGTTTACCTACAGAATAACTATTCATACATGTAGGATGAGGACCTGCTTTGGAAAAAACTTCAGTCCTAACCCAGAATTAGCTTATTGCTAAATATTTGCATTGCTACAATTTGTGAGAAGCTGAATTTAGGCAAAGTTTGACAAATCAAATTTTATTTTGATATCATCTAGGGGGATCCCCTGGTTAAATCATTTTATTAGAAGACTAAGAAGACTGAGTAATACTGTGTAATCTAAAGTTTGGTCTATATAATTTATTACATTTGAACAGCTATAAACTCTTACTTCAACAAATACTGTTTTGAAACAACTAGGCTCACAACTAATTAGTATTCTTAAAACCAAAGGATTTCCTAGATCTTGAATTATTTATCTTTTAAAATTTTAATTATAATCTCTTGACCACCTAACAATAGCAAAAGTTAACATCTATTTTCTCACATTATGAATAAATATTCACAGAATTACAGAATCATACAGTTTAAGAGCTGAATGTTACCTTAGAGATTATCCCCCAAATCTCATTTTATAGTTTGTCAGTCAAAAGCCTAGAAATATTAAGTGTACTGTTCAAAACCATAAGCCCTTGCTGGATTTTAATTTATATATTCTTTTCTTTTTTAAAGACTAATTTATTTATTTTAGAGAGAGTGTGAAGGAGTAGGGGGAGGGACAGAGGGAGAGAATCCTCAAGTGGACTCCCTGAGTGGGGGGCCAAACACAGGGCTGGATCCCTGAGATCATGATTAAAGCCAAAACTAAGAAGTCTGATGTTCAACAGATTGGGCCACCCAGGTGCCCCTCAATTTATACATTTTTTATGAAGAACATAAACACTTTCTTTTTCATCATCTTTTAGGAAGATACATCGTACTAGTAACAATAAATTTGGACAATCATTGGAAATTGATGTGTTCCTGAAAAGAAGGTTAAATTTTAGAAAACAATCTTATTTTCCCATTTAGAACCATAACAATAGTAGACACAAGAGAAACACCTTTAGGGACACCTGGGTGGCTCAGTCAGTTGAGCATCCGTCTCTTGAGCATTTGACACTTGATTTTGGCTCAAGTCTTGATCTCAGGGTCTTTGGGATTGGCACTCAGAGCCAGGACCGTGCTCAGCAGAGAATGTGCTTGAGGATTCTCTCTCTCTTCCTTTCCCTCTGCCCCCCACCCATCCCCCAACTGTCTCTTTCTCAAATAAATAGTTTTTATTTTTTTTAAGATTTTATTTATTTATTTGACAGACAGAGATCACAAGCAGGCAGAGAGGCAGGCAGAGAGAGAGGAGGAAGCAGGCTCCCTGCCGAGCAGAGAGCCCGATGTGGGGCTCGATCGCAGGACCCTGGGATCATGACCTGAGCCGAAGGCAGAGGCTTTAACCCGCTGAGCCACCCAGGCGCCCCTGTGGTGGTTTTTTTTTTTTAAAGAGAACATTTTATAGGACATTTTAGTTTTCTGATAAACTTATAACAGTATGCCAGGTCATTCATAATAGTGAACCAAACCTCTTGTGTATTTAACCCATCTTTACGGAACCAGATTTGATATTAGATTTTTTATGTGTGCTACCAGATTCTGTGTATGGTTTTTATTCCTAAAAGGAAAAAAGGTGGTTCTATAACCAACAATTGTCTAGATCTCATTTAAATTTTATCACTTCACTGTGCTTTTTGATGTTACTTCTAGGCCAGGAAGTACAGCCTAAGAGTGAAGTCTTAGCATCCATGGTAAAAGCAGATTAAATACAGAAATGTATTCCTATTCACTGTGATGCAGTAAAGAATGGAAATTGAAGTGGAAAGGGTTGGTTTCTTCTGAGGGCTATGAGGGAAGATTCCAGGCCTCTCTCCTTACCCTGTAGATGGCTGACTTCTCTGTGTGTCTTTTCACATTGTCTAACCTCTGTGCCTTTCTCTGTGTCCAAATTCCCCTATTAATTTTGTAAGGACACCAATCATTGGATTAGGGGCCTACCCAACTCCATATGACCTCATCCTAACTGATTACATCTGCAATGATCCTATTTTCAAATAAGGTCACAGTTACAACTGTGCTATAAACAGCAGATTAAAAACCCAAATTGACAAATCATACTATATTATTGAAATAGCAATAAACCTACTTTTAAAATTTTTTACTAAATTCAGTGGCATTAGTATATGCACAATGTTGGGCAGCAATATCCATTTCCAAAGAAAAATCATTATTATTATTTTTTTTTTTTTAAAGATTTTATTTATTTTTTTATTTATTTGACAAAGATCACAAGTAGGCAGAGAGGGAGGCGGGGGCGGGGTGGGGTGGGGGGGAGGCAGGCTACCTGCCGAACAGAGAGCCGGATACGGGGCTCCATCCCAGGACTCTGGGATCATGACCAGAGCCAAAGGCAGAGGCTTTAACCCACTGAGCCACCCAGGCGCGCCAGAAAGATCATTTTTTAAAACCTTGCTTTTATTAGTAAATCTAGATAAAGAGCTGCTGGTTTTTGAGTTATATTGGTCAGGGTTACTGAATACAAACCAAACAGGCACACACAGTCTAACAAATGCCAGTGAATTTACTGAGAAAATATGACAGTATTAAAATCTGTTGAAGCTGTAAGCGCAATACATGGAAAAAACAGACCTTAAAACTAAATACAACACAGAAATAGCATAATAAGATGTCAGTGAAAGTCCTGCTACTTTGGGAAAAGCAGCCTGTGATGCTAGTAAGCAGTTAAGGTAGCTTTGGTGTGCTCTTACTAAACACTAAAATGGAGGTTCTTAACTTGGGTCTGGAGGGGTGTGTAAATGCAATATGCACTTGGCGAATATAAGCAGCTGGGGGGTGCGAAGCATTCATTCCTTTTATGGGGGTCTCAGAAAGATCTTTGATTTAAAAGTTTTTACATTATGATGTAAGGGAGACAAGACAGTGAATAGATGAGATAGCCAAAGGTGGACGGCGTCCAGGAATCCTACTTTTTGGCACAGCGGCTGTGCGAGGGTGAGCCAGAGCCCAGCCAGAAGGTCGCAACCAGGAATCCGGGGCCGGAGGAGGGGGCGGAGCCAGGGGAGACAACGCCCGCCCCCGCCCCTTCAGGACTCCAGGGGCGCCCTTGTTTACCTCCCGACATTGGACACCCGAGACAAAGGGGGAAGGGAGGGAGGGGACCTTCTGAGGGAAACTCCACTGGCGGGAAACGCCTTACTGAAAGATCTTTGGTAACACCACACGAGAGGCGGGAACAGCCGCCCTCCCGCGCCCCTTCCCAGGTTCCCCGCCACCTCCGGTCTTCTGGGCTTCTGTCCTAGCCTCCGCGACAACGGGCGGAGTTGGGCAATCGGCCCGCAGGGCAAGCTCCTTAGCCTCTATTTGTTATTCTTCGGACCGGACAGAGGACGCCCTGTGGGGTTACACGGCCGAACGACTACAGCTTCCAGGAGACAAGACTGTGGGGCCGAACTGGGGCGGAAGAGAGACGCGACCCGGACAGTGGTCAAGAGAGGGTAGGACGGTCTGCTTGTAACCTCAACACCTGTAAACTGCCGCCGCCAACCCCCTCACAACCCTGTTTGCCGACTCAGTATTTTTAAATCTGGCGGGGCTTTCCCTTTCAGGCCAACCACTCCCCCCGTTTACCGCCCCAGCCAGTCAGCGCCAGGCCCGCCATTTTTCAAACCCTTTTCCTGCCGCCAATCAGGATCGAGCAGTACATTCCTCTCCTGACCGGTTCTAACGGGTCTGGGAGTTAACGACCTGGGCGACCCACCGAACCTGCTAGGTTGGGGCTGGAGGGACGGGCCTGGCGAGACACCGACCAATCGGAGGACTTCGTGGTGGTAGGGCGTGGCCTAAGGGAGTTTGAATAATCATCAGAGCCAATCAGAGAGGCGGGGGTGTGGCCTGTGGCCCGGCTCGTCAAGTTGCCGTGGCGCGGAGAACTCTGCAAAACAAGAGGCTGAGGATTGCGTTAGCGATAAACCAGTTCACGCCGGAGCCCTGGGAAGGAAGCGTCTCTGTTGGATCCGGCGTCTTCGCGGGACTCTCAGAAAAGCTACCACCAGGCAAGAATCCCCTCTAGCCCCTTCGAGTTGGTGGGCCTCGTTCCCCCTTTCCTCATAGCCTTCTAGCCGGGCCTGCCCCTATGGCTGGCTCTCGGGTTCGACCTGGCGAGCGGAATCTGGGGTGCGGGCCGGGGGCTGTGGCGGGAGGGCGGTCGGGGCCGGCGGGAGGGCGGGAAGCTCGTCCGGGCCCGGTTTCAGTCGTTTTTTGAATGTCGGTCGCGAAGCGACAACTCTTTGAGTGGGCGGGCGGCGTGGAAGCCGGGGAAACATTTCTGTCAGGAAAAAGGTTTCGACGGCGCGCCCGGCGTTCCCTTCCTCAGCCCGGGCCTGGGCGGAGGACGGGCGGCGGGTGGCGGCCTCTCGGGCCTTCGGGAACGACGTGGTGATCGCGCGTGAGTCGGCTCGGCCGCGGCTGTTCTGCTGGGTGCCGGGAGGAGGGTGTGTGCGCGGAGGCGGCCGCCCAGGGCGGGCTGGCGGCGGAGCCTGGCGCGGGCCGCCTTCCTTCCGAGAGGGGGCGGGCGCGTATTTGGGCGGGAAGCTGAGCCCAGCCAGCGTCCACCCACCGCTTCTCTCCCCGCTAGGTAGACGCCGCCTGTCACCATGGGTAAAGGAGACCCCAACAAGCCGCGGGGCAAGATGTCCTCGTACGCCTTCTTCGTGCAGACCTGCCGGGAAGAGCACAAGAAGAAACACCCGGACTCTTCCGTCAATTTCGCCGAATTTTCCAAGAAATGTTCGGAGAGATGGAAGGTGAGACAGGAATTCGGACAGAGCTAAGGGTTTTTCAGGTGTTTTGTTTTGTTTTGTTTTGGCTAGGACCTTAAACGGGTAGGTGACTTGTAACCTCCAACTCGGCTACGGTCGTGACTCGTCCAGATATTTTATTTTGAGTTTGGGGCAGACTACCTTAGGTTTTCGTTTACTTCCAAGACTAAAGGTAAAATGCTGCTAACCACGGAAAATGTAGCCCTTAAGGATGACCTTGATCTTTTTTGGATGCGTGTAGCTTATAGTTTTGCTGTACTTTATTCCTCATTTCATACCCATAGACCATGTCTGCAAAGGAAAAGTCGAAATTTGAAGATATGGCAAAAAGTGATAAAGCTCGATATGACAGGGAGATGAAAAATTATGTGCCTCCCAAAGGTGACAAGAAAGGAAAGAAAAAAGATCCCAATGCTCCTAAAAGGCCTCCGTAAGTTGATTTGCAAATCAGTCAAATTGCCCCTTCGTTTTCCACTCAGTTTATTAACTCCGTTGCTTCCTTTAAGGTCTGCTTTCTTCCTGTTTTGCTCTGAACATCGCCCAAAGATCAAAAGTGAACACCCTGGTTTATCCATTGGGGATACTGCAAAAAAATTGGGTGAAATGTGGTCTGAACAGTCAGCCAAAGATAAACAACCGTATGAACAGAAAGCAGCAAAGCTAAAGGAGAAATATGAAAAGGTACATTGTCTTTTTTAAGCCCAAGATATTTTCTAAATAAGGATGTTAGAAATAGGTATGAACTGTAGAGTTGGAAAGTTTAGTTCCTCTTGATTTATGGTTGTCAGCTGTATTTGGAGAAGATCTAGTGAAAACTGTACATTTAAGATTGTTAGCTATTTGAAACTTCCTTCTTTTGACTGAAACCAGTGTTCGTAGCATTGGTAGATTCCTGCATAGAGACTCATTTGCAGTTCTGGGTCTCTTAGTTTTAAGAAATGGAGGGCCAAATACTTTGTTTTATGTAGATGTACCTAAAATAAGTGGGGGTGGGCAATATGAGGTAAATTGGACAGTGATAGTGAAAGTTTTGACGTTTCCAACCCCCTCATTTTACATCATTAGCTTTCTAAAGCCTCTCAAAGCTGGGTTATTAGACTTTGAATACCTCTTTGGATAGTCATCAGGGTTATTGGTCAATAAGCTTAGAATGTTTACAGCTTAGTGGTTTTCACGGTTGAGTAATGACACCGGATGCTGATTTTATTTTTTGACAATATTTCAGGATATTGCTGCATATCGTGCCAAGGGCAAAAGTGAAGCTGGAAAGAAGGGCCCTGGCAGGCCAACAGGTTCAAAGAAGAAGAATGAACCAGAGGATGAGGAGGAAGAGGAAGAGGAGGAAGAAGATGAAGATGATGAGGAAGAGGAGGAAGATGAAGAATAAATGGCTATCCTGTAATGATATGTGTGGAGTGTGTGTGTGTGCTCAGGCAATTGTTTTGCTAAGAATGTGAATTCAAGTGCAGCTCAATATTAGCTTCAGTATAAAAACTGTACAGATTTTTGTATAGCTGATAAGATTCTTTGTAGAGAAAATACTTTTTTAAAAATGCAGGTTGTAGCTTTTTGAGGGGCTACTACATACAGTTAGATTTTAAAGCTTCTGATGTTGAATGTTTCTAAATATTTAATGGTTTTCTTAATTTCTTGACTTGTGTATTGTAGCACAGCAAACTTGTAGGAATTAGTATCAATAGTAAATTTTGGGTTTTTTAGAATGTTGCATTTTGTTTTTTTAAAAAAATTTTTGTAATAAAATTATGTATATTATTTCTTTTGTCTTTGTCTTACTAATTTTCACTTTAAAAACGCTCCAGGTCTGGAACCACATCAACTTTTTCTTGTATTTGTGCCTAATAGTTCTCAGACACAGTTGATTTAGTAAAATGTTTGATTAAAAAACTTAAAACCTGCCCTTATTCTGAATTACAAAGTATTTAAAAAATAGATCTGGAATTTAATGAATTTCTAAAATTGGTGCTGTTTTGACAAGATGAGTGTTTTTTCTTTTTCCTTGATGTTGCTGTTTATTTCTAACTTGTCCCTTGACACTATCTTTAGGGAAACCTTCTCTTTAATAGGAGGTAGAGGAGCTAATACAGTGATTACATCCCTGAAAACCTAAACTTTTAAAAGCATCATTAGTAACAAGTTAAATTTTCTTATGATTATAAGCTAGTTCCAAGTAGAATAGCAGAATGAATTTTGGGTTATATCTTTAAAAATTTATGGTTTTAAGCTTTAGAATTTTGGTAACCTTACAAAACCATATGAGGTGGTTATTGTGATCCTCCCATGACTAAATTTCACTAGGATTTTTATTTATTGGGGAAAGCAGTTGAGAAATGCTCCTTTGAGGGAGCAATTTCTTCTGTTTGAGTTAAGATTACTATTTTGAACTGTTACCAGAGGCTTCTAGTGAAAGTCAACCTCTGGCCAAGTAAGAAGTAGGTATGAATTTGTAGAATTGGTGAGAGAACAAATCTGTTAGTTAGTTATTTGATAGTTTCCTTATTACCTACCAAGTTTTAAAATAGTCAAAATTCTTATTACCCAGCCATGGGAGTTTTGGTTGTCTGTCTTATGCCATATTTGAATAAGTATTTGGTAAGGATTATATCATTAAACAGGAAGTACTGAAGTTTTGTTAAATGGAAGTGAGGTATTAGCATAATTGCCAAAATTTGCAGACCTCTGATTGCCTTCTTAACCTCAGTAGTTGCACATTTAAATTTGGAGCTTTTGCTGATGAAAACATTGATAATTTAAAAAAATAATTTCTGATGTTAAGTGGCTTAATAGAGCCTGAAATTAGGGTAATGTATTTTAGAGATACAACTTAGGTCTGGATCCCAGTTCCCCTGCTCCATAAATACTAGCTTTATGAACTTAATTTTTGACCTTCTGTATCCCCATTTGTAATATGGGGTCAGTACTCCGTTCACAATGTTTTAATGTTAAAGGAGAAAGTTAAAATTATCTGAAATACTTCCTAGTGCTTAAGAGATTTTAAAAAGGAGTTTCTAAAACTGAAATAAGGTAAAAGTCTTGTTTCTTTCAGGATTTCTAAATCTAAATTTTAAGACCCGTGAGGCAGACCTGTCAGATTTCTTGTCATCTTTTTGGAAGTTTTTGTGACTACTTTACTTCTGTTCTTTATATAAAACTTTACATGTCTAAGCTAAGAACGACTCATTCTTTTAATTAGAAGCTGCTCTAGAATAAGTTCAGGATTTAGGGTGAGTCAACATCCATTAAGTGTGGATCAAGATTTCAAATCTCTGAAAGATTCTATCAGTAAATTTTCAAGATTAGGTTACTTCAAGGAGTGGTTCTGTTGGAAACTGAAATAGGGATAAGAATTAGGTTTCATTCCAGACCAGGTGGTATATGGAGGTGTTTATGAAAAGTCCCTTTTTTTTTCTTTTAAGAAAGTTATATCTTAGTGATACAAAATGTAAGAGCCATGTAGTGGGTAGTCTATATCCTTGATTCCCAACTACCTGGTTCTCCCAGGAGACAACCACAGTAATAATTCATCCTTCAAAAAAGACACAAAGCATCATATATATTTATATATATTTATTTATTTTATATATTCATATGTATTTTTATATATATGTTGTAAGTATATATAAATATATGATGCTTTCTGTTTAAATAAATACATATGCTTATATATATACACACACATATATATATTAACATTAAACAAATGGAAGCTTTCTATATGTACACTTTGCCCCTTGTTCTCATTTTAGAGAATGTTCTATCAGTACAAGAGCTGACACTTTGAGTAGCTAGCTGCATAGTATCCCATTGGATAGGTCATAATTTAGTTCATATTTATGAACAATATTGCCATGAATACCCTTGTATGTGGTTTCAAAAAAATAGTAAAAATTTTAAGTTTGTACATTTTAAGATTTGATGATTATAACCACTAAAACTTGTATAGTTGACCCTTGGAACAACATGGGGGTTATGGGAGCTAAACTACCCCTCACACTGTTGAAAATCTGTGTGTAACTTCTGACTTCCCAAAAACTTTACTAATAGCCTGTTGATGAGAACCTGTACTGGTAATATGGTCAATCAACACATACTTTTCATGTTCTATTTTATACTGTATTTTTAAAGTAAGCTGGAAAAAACATGTTAGTAGAAAATCATAAGAGAAAATACATTTACAGTACTGTACTGTAAAAAATCCACATCTAAGTTGACAGTGCACAGTTCAAACCTGCTTTGTTCAAGGGTCAGCTGTACCTGGTATATGGTGGAAACCTCTTATGTTTTGTTAACTTAGTAAAGGCTGCCAAAATTGCTCTCAGTAGTTGTACTAATACATAGTCCATAGCAGTGAATGTTTTAGAGTGTCTTATTTCCTCATCTCAGCAACATAATAGTTATCAAACTTTTAATCTTTGCTATTTTGATTTATAAAAAGTGGTTCCTCCTATTAAAAGTTGAGCATGTTTTTATGTTTAACAGCCATTTGTTTCCTGTGGTCTTCTGTCTCATGGGTCTCTGTATTAGTAATCTGTGGAGATTAAGGAAAGTGACCCTTTGTGACTTCCACTGTAAATGTTTTTCTCCTTGTCAATTTCCTTTTGACTTTATGCTGTTTTCTTTATGCAAAGATTTATGTAGGCAAAATCTTATGTAGGTTTTGGAAGGTCTTTCCCACTCAAAGATTATAAAAATTATCTGCTTTCTTTTATTATTTAATTCTTTGATCCTTCTGGAATTTATTTTGGTCAAGGACTCAAGTAGGGGGTTAAATTTCTTTCTTTCCAGATGGCAGCTACTAATTTGGGTCTTTTTATTTGTAAAAGCTGGGTTAGAAGATCCTAAGGTTTCTTACATATTGGAGCAGTCAATTGCAAACTTGCCCAATAGATAACAGTATGCCTTTTTTGTAAGTATTTTGTTTTTTAACAGCAATATTTACTGTAAGTAGTAAATCATAAACTTGTCTTAGACTACTACAAATATAGCATTATCTTAAACCTGTTACTACATATGCCACTAAAAATGTTTTACAAAACATCAATGATTTTATTTCTTGGGGTGCTAAAGAAAGATAAAGGAGCTGTTAGGTTACCGCATAAGACCCAATCCTTAAATAAAACATCTCTCTAGAAATGTTTTTTGGACTCATTCTCATGAGATTCCTATTGGGAACTGTGGCATTTTCAGAGAAAGGTAGGATATTGGGCAGAAAATCCAAAGATAAATAGAGTGCAGACAGGAAAAAGGGCTGTATGTGGTAAAGTGATGAGCATACAAGAAAGTAAGCTCTATGAGGGCAATGATTTTTTTTTTAAGATTTTATTTATTTGACAGAGATCATAAGTAGGCAGAGAGGCAGGCAGAGAGTGAGGAAGGGAAGCAGGCTCCCCGTTGAGCAGAGAGCCCAACGCAGGACTCCATCCCAGAACCCTGGGATCACGATCCAAGCCGAAGGCAGAGGCCCCAACCCACAGAGCCACCCAGGTGCCCCATTTTTTAAAATTTTTGTATAATTCTCTATACCTTGTGCCAGAAATTTAGTAGGTGCTCTATAAACAAATATGCCGAGGATAAAGAGGGCAGCTCCTACTTAGCTCAGTCCTGTTGTTGGATGGAAATGTGGGTCCAGGATTCCCAAATATCACAAATTTTCAAGGTACCAGAAATCTAGATATTTTTTTAAAAAGTGAAATCTGAGTCATAAATGTTGGCAATGAATTCAAATGTCAGGTTCAAAGGAACTGTCTACAGGTAAGGTTCTACCCAAGGATTACCAGTTTGCCAATTCTATAAATTAAATAGGTAAATGTAAGATCATTAATAATATTTGAGTTAGGACTGTTAAATTTATGTACGCTTTCCAGTTGAGCACTGTTATTACAGTTGTATAAGCAACTTTTCACTCTGACTGGAAACTCCTCTGACTTCTTATCCTGTAGTAAATGTACATATAGACATTGTTTCTGAGGTCTTAATGGAATTTCACTGGACTCCTGGGCTTCTTTTCAGGATTTACAGTGCTAACTTTTCCCTCAGTGAGCCTCATCCTAACAGTTACCGTATCTGTAGAATAATGGACTCAGAAGCACAGTTAGAGTGGCACATTTAAGGAAAAGTAAAATAACTTTCAAGCAAACGTGGAACAGCAAACTTCAGAACTGGAAATGATCTTTATTTCAACGGATCCAGTTTCCTTCCTTCAGGAAGACATGGCAGTTCAACTAAGACTATATTCTAGGGCAGCAGGTAAGATAATAAAACACTAATTCATTTACATTTGTTATGTTATTCTTTGATTCTTTACATTTTTCCAATAAAGAGGAGATGGCTTTGCAAGGGATTAATTAAAGTAACGGGTACTTGGCTGGTTCAGTTGGTAGAGCATGAGATGCTTGATTCTGGGGTCATGAGTTTGAGCCCCATGTTGGGCATAGAGATCACTTAAGATAAAATACAAACAGACAAAGGGAGAAACAAGGTTATGAAGGAGATTAAGGGTGAGGAGATGAGGAGCTTACACTTGGAACTTGGATTAGAGTTTGAATAGGTCTCTGATTCTTACTGATTTGGTAACATCAGACAAGTCATATAACTTTTCAATTTCCTCACCTATAAAATTAAGAAATTTTGAGGATTAAATGAGACAATATATTTAAGACACTTTTCTGGGTGGCAAGTGATAGTAAATGTTAGCTAAAGGTATACATACCAATATATATGGGTTAAGATAGTTGCTATGGTAAGAGTAT